AAAAAAAAAAAAAAAAATCAATCAAAACTCAAATTTAACTCAACATTAACCCAACTCCACTATCATCAATAATATGAACTAATCATTCTTACACTTCAAATCAACTTTAATTCACTATTCATTCACTCAAATAATTTTAACTAACCATCACTTCCAATCATTTTTCTCCTACTTTTATCAACTTTAACTATTTTATTTTAAATATTATTTTAATTTAATCTTAAATTCCAACTAACAACTAACCAAATCACCTTTTTCAAAATTATGGTTAACAAAAAAAACAAATCAAAAACCGATCAAATCTAGATCCAATCACACCCTTAGCATCTCAGTCAACTAAAATCATGACAGGAAATACAAAATGGACTCTTCGACACAGTTCAAATTTTTTAGAAAAAATGAACCACCAAGAAGTGATGCAACATGAGCTTATATAAATTTTTCTAGAAATAATAAGGTATTTCCAGCTAAAAAACAATCAGGGATGTGTATAAGCTATAGATGCAATCATAATGCCCCCAACATATGACATCATTCATGTTTTCCTAATTGTCCCTTCACCGATATGTTTCAGAAGATTAATCAGAAAACTAAAACTCGATAAAAAAACAGAAAACGAGTGCTAGCCAAAGATGACCTTCAAAAAAGGCAAGGTTAAATCCGGGTGACGATGCCTCCCGAGAATTTCAAGCTCCATAGAGACCGAATGCATCTGCACGAATCATCATGTAACAAGACTAACTTTTAGACAAAAACGAATAAGGCATACAAAAAAAAAAAAAAGACATCTGCCAAACATTTAGCTAATACCGGCTCCTCCAACAATGGCAATATCTTATCAGCTACCCCAACATAAGAAAGCATGGCCGAAAGAACATTAGGCACGTGTGGATTAAGATCCAAGTGGCGCAGTTGCCTACAAACGGAATCGATTATATAGTCGGAGTTTGCCAACACCAAGTGACCTACCTGCAATAATTTTGTCAAAAGTACAGATTAAAAAAAAAAATAAGACAAACCAAAATCAAAGCACTGAACACCAGAAATACTCACAGTTGGACAGTTCTGCATAGCAGAGATAGCATGCAACACAGCATCAGCAGCCCTTTTGACTTGAAAATTCGAGCAAATAACATTCTCAAGCAACATGTAAAGTGACGAATGAAGAAATCCAGATGATGAAAATTGTTCACCAAGGCATATGTTGAATATGCCTATTCCTTCAATAATAACCTGTTGTGGGTTAAAAAATAAAATAAAATAAATAAGTGCACACAGTTGAAAAAAAAAAATTATTATCCATGGCCGAATATATTAAAAATAATAAAAACCTGATGCAGCATCCCATTATCACTAAAGAAGTGCAAGCTTATATCCCCATCTTCTCCGGATTGTTCTAGAGAAGCTGAGGGCCCAAGAGGAAGATCCCATATTTCAGGCGACAAATATTCATGCAGTATACCACCGATGCAATCGATCAAATGAGTCCTTTTTTCACCTCTCTTTTCATGGAGCTTATGAACCCAACTTTCTAGCAATGCATCTTCATATTGGCCTTTGGTTTTATCTTGTGGGCTGGACCCAAATATTCTGCCAAATGACATGACGGCCCGATCAGACAGCCCAAACATCAACTCGTTCAGAAGGCATACAGCAGTACTAGCCTGCCTCACCAAACGGCCCGAACCAGGCCACCTGTACCATGTCTGCCAGCTGTTCTTGCGGTATTCTTTCGTTCGTAGCTCAGATGTCAATTCGCGAAGGTGTCCCATGAGAATATCAATCAAACCAGAATAAGAGCCCTCTGTCTCGGAATCTGTAAACAGAGAATGAGGAGTCCTCAATTTTATTTTTTTTTTTTTGGTCACTTGAAAAGGAAAATTATGTTAAAACAAAAAATGTGGCCAAGATGCTGACCTGCGAAAGTGTATAAGCTGACAAGTCTTAGAATTCCTGCAAGGGTCTGGTACAGCTTTTGGCTACACTCATGAACAAACCAAGGTGGCATTCTAGGCAGCTCATATTCGTTCATTAATGGTTCGGATGTGTACAAGTTTTTCCTGTTTTGAAAACCTAAAAAGTGGGAATTTTCGTCATCTGCACTGATAATAGCTTTGATCTCAGATATAGAATGCATAAAGCCTGATAAGGATGGTCTCGCTACTGCAAGCTTGTTGAGTGAACCAGAATATACTGAGTTCTGATTGAAACAGAGGGAAAAAATATCCAAGAAACGAGCAGCTGACACCTACAAGACATCAAAAGTAACAGAAATCCTCAAAAATATGAAGTTAGGAAATCTGAGTTCAACTTTAAGTCACATGTTGAAATATTTTTCAACCCTAAAATAGAAGAATTTTCTCGTATTGAGGAAAGAAGAGAAGAATTATACAGGAGACATAAGAACGCGGTCTGCAATGAGTTGAGGACCTCCAAAATATGCAACTGCCAGCAGCTTTCGGGCATGTGATAGTGCAAGTGATTCATCATTACCCAGTATGACTTGAGGAAGTTTTTCAAGTAACCTGTAAATTATATTCACATTACAGAATCAGTCTTTTCAAGAGAAGAAGACAGAATTAATGTACTTCAGAAAGACACGCTAACCTACTAAAAACCTCAGCAATATCATGTTTAAGTAAAGGTTTAGCTTTAGATTGGCCCAGGAGTCTGAAGAATGCACAAGCCTCTGAAGAAACGTCTTCGAAATCGTCACAGACAAAAATACACAGGCATTCCTGCATTAAAAACCCAGCTCACTTGTTTAGTGGACGAGCTGCTAACAGCAAACAGGGCATTTCTAATTAATTCAACCCATATATAGGCAACTCGAAAATGTCTGATACAGATAACCCAAATCCCCGCTTACCAAAAGCATCAATCTGCTTTCTTTCAGTGTGTAACTACATTTAGACAAAAGAGTCTTTACAGAAGCCAAAAGTCCCAGTCTCACTTTTCTACTTGGATGCACACATAGCTGCAAAAAGGAAAAAAAANNNAAAAAAAAAAAAAAAAAAAAAAAAAAAAAAATGAGAGAATTTCAAATCGACACACACATAAAACAGACACACACACACACACATAAAAAAAAAACACAAGCACAGCTGCAAAAAAGAAAAAAACGAACAGAATTTCAAATCGACACACACATAAAAAACACACACACTGTGTCACTGGCAGACAACTGTGTTAGACCTACATGTGGATAAGTTGCAGACAATAGTTTGCTAACATGAGCTGTAGTATTTGCCAACCAATCTGCCGTACGCTTTACACGCAGAGATCCATCTTTAACATCAGAACTCTTTAGAGAATTATCTCTGCAAGACATTATAATGCCTCTCGATTGATTTTCAGTTGGGCCTCTGACATCATCATTTGTTTCTGGGTTATTAAGAGGTAGTTGACGAAGTTCGTCCAGGATAGATGCAAGAGGCTTTTCTGTTCTTGCATGGATATCAGAAATTTCATTCACTGGTACACCAGGGATAGATGAGCTGGCAAAATCTTCAAGAGCTATAATCAGATACTCGGTCAACCCTCTAATCGCCTGATCCAAGGCTTCTGTACTTCCAGCCGCCCCACTAACCATTGATCTCGATGCATGCAATATTTTTCCCATTTGACTGACAACACCTGGTAAATAAAAAGCCAATGCTTCTACCGTGCCGACCTGCAAGTTTTGACAAAAAATTATGAATTCAATGCACCGAGAATCATTTCTATCAAGTATATGCTTGAATTGCAACAAATTGGCTGCAAAAATGAAAAAACAGGTTGGAAGTAGAAGAAAAAATCTTATCCCGTCAATCAGAAAGGACAAACCTACCAAATTTCATTAGACTGCACTGATTATAGGTCCTGATTTAAAAGAAAAAAAAAAAAGTAAAGTAGAATAAAAAATCATAATACCTTAGCAACAAGCACTCGAAGTGTTATCAAGGCTTCAATTCGAAGTCTTGGACTGCCTCGGAGACCTCGTGCTGCCTCAATATCTGCAGCCTTCAAGTACATATCAAGTTAGGCATTCAGATTAATTTTTTTTAAATAAGATAAGCGGTCATGTGAGAACAAACACATGCCTTCAGCAGAAGAGAGAGCCAGTGCCCAACTGCAGCAGAAGCAGGTTCAGACTGAAGAAATGCTAATAAACATTCCCCTGAGACTGTATTACATTTCGATAATTTCGTATCAAGAAATTGTAACTCTTTTCCAGCTGGAATAACTGGGCAATCACCAATTTGTTTGCACGGACAGGATACATCAGGACAAGGACATAAATTAAGCAGTAGAGCCCTGAAACACCTTATTACTCCTTCACGGAACTCCTCTGAAGCTTCCAAAGGAGACAGCATAGCTCCATGGGTCAATTTCTTCAATACCACAACCATCTGTGATGGGAGCAAGAGATGAAATAATAACGATCAAAAAAAAAAAAGGAGAGATTAAAATATTAAATTTTCTTTAATAATAAATAGTATCCAAAAGCTTAAAGCTTCCCAGCAGAATGGTACTGCCAGCAAGAAATAATCTTGCTCAATAGCGAAAACTATTACAATATTGCCCGCATAGACTCCACTCAAGACCCTATATATATATGATGAAACTGAAATAATTATTAAAGATAATAATAACCTGTAGATTTATTCCTCTTTCCTTAGTTGCTTAATTATTATATATACTCTCCACTTTTAAGCCCCTGTTTCACGCCATGCGATCTCTATCAATTTGTAACAATCATACATTTCAGAGTATCCAAGGTAAAGACGAGATAGACTTCGACCAGACCCATCTTTTTTTTATCCAGGAGCCACAATAACGCACAGCAGAAAAAGTTTCAACGAAGTGTGAAATAAACCCAACAGAACATCATTGTACAAAATTACAGGAAATGGTGAATAACGACGTGTTGATGTAAAGCTTCATTTGGATCTTCAGGTAAAATTTACAACAATATTTGCCCAAAATCTGGAAGCAAGAAAAGGGAGGGTATGCGCAACTTTGGATGCAATATGCTCGAGATGGTTTCTTGTACAAATGGTTTCTATGAGATTCCTGAACGTTAATTTCTAGCTATTCATAACAACTTCAGAGCAGAACCACTTTCTAGATATCCTTTTAGTTTGAAAGAGCTTCTTCAATTCTTCTATTTAGCTATATACCATAAAAATGTTTTAGTTTAACATTATCAATAAACTATCTATCTCCTGCAGAAGAAGGTCTAATTTAAGATAAAGAAGCAAAGTTGAACAGAGAGAGAAACAATGGTAATCTGGAGATGGATAGATTAGCCTACCTGGTCAAGAGATCCTAAATAGCATTTCTTTAGGACTTCCTCCAAACAGAAGACAACACCTTCTGCTACAGAGTCACTCACTTTCTGTTCCATCCCTAAGGTATTAGCTCCCAAAGAATTATCTCTCGAGTTGAACTTCACTGAGGATCTACAGTTCACTGCTGCATCGAATAGAAGCAGCAATGGAAAGAGAGTATAGCTGAAAATTTAGATATGAAGCTGAGTTAAACAATCACAGTTATCTGAATATAAAGAAGCAATAAGTTTTTTAAAGACCTCTGAGCATTGCATAATTTTCCATCCTGCTTTAATAAAAGTGCAAAACACTGAAACTAATTTTAACATAAATGTCTAGTATTATAATAGTTTCAGGTGCTCTTAACATTTAAATCAAGTTCAAGTGCCAGAACTATCGTTGCAAAAGTTATTACCTTACTATGAACGAGCCATAAAATCAGTTGAGATTAAAGAATTAATGTAAGTCACAAATCAAAAAATGAGGAAAATGCAGATACATGATTGCCTCGAGTCATTTCTAACATCTAGTTACTAACATAAAGTTATCAATAACCATTTAAGATTCATAAAGTGAAAATTCTTGAAATACATATGACAACGCACAATTTTATGAACTCCCCAATATTATCCTACCTCCATCTGTTTCTTTCCCTGAAATCGTCGTGATAACAGTGAATCGCCACACATTGCGCATGTACGACTTCAAAGTTCAAGGAACGAATCAGACTAGTAAAGCTTCAAATAAGACCACATAATAAACAGCCATCTCAAAGCAGCGTGTAAGCTGCAAAGCCTTAAATCTCAATCTGTTCGAAATTCTGAACCTCAGCATCATCCACTGCGCCATTACCAGCGCAAATGTAGAAGGATGAAGTTCCATGGCAGCCTGCTGCTCACCCTGCTGCTCATTATAATTGTCTTTTAACTAGAAATCGTTGGTTGTCATTTTCTTAGTCGTGCTGCGTTTTGTGTTTTTGCTTTAAGTGCAAACGACGTCGTGTGAGACATATAACTAGACGACGTCGTTCCCTTCTTCATGTACATATAAAACGCGTGTTGCGTGAACAGATTTGGTGTGAGAAATAAAAACATATCTTCTATCAAATTCTCTGTTTGTACATGGTATCCAGAGCGAGTGACGATCCATAGAAATTGAAGCTCAAGCTCACCATCATCAATGGCGGCATATCGCAATGAAGCTTGGCCACTGCTCAATGCACGAGCTGGAAATAGCTCAGAATCGAATGAAGATCCTCTGTTCTTAAGCACAGCTGATAATCCAGGTATCCAGCTCGTATCACATCAGCTAAGTGGTTCTAATTTCTTAGCTTGGAAACGTTCGATGATGATCGCACTAGGTGAGAAGACGAAATTAGGGTTCATCAATGGATCTGCCGCGATGCCTGAGAGAAATGATGTGAATTTTGATAAATGGAAGAAAGTTGATTGGACTGTTATGTCGTGGATTCTGAACTCAATGACAAAGGAGATAGCCGATTCCTTCGTTTATTCAGAATCTGCAAAGGAACTTTGGGATGAAATTTGTCAACGGTTTGGAGAAATTATCAGCTGCAAAGAGATATTGCTAGTTTGAAGCAAGGAAATGAGTCGGTTATGGCTTATTTTAACAAACTCAAAAGGATGTGGGATGAATTAGGATGTTTAATGCCAAAC